GATCACTCTTTCCGTGGAAGATTCCTTTAAGGTATCGTTTTCTGTGGTAATGAGGGCGGAGCTTTTTCCGTGGAGGATTCCTTTAAGGATGTTCATATCGTCTTTCATTATGAAGTCGCCGGCAGTAGAAGCCCTTTAGCTTTTTAAATCTGGGGTGGCTCCGATTGTCAAGTAGGCACACTTACAGGGTGGCTACTAAATATGGCGCATGGTTTATTGATCATATTTCCAAAAATAGAAGCTATTACAAACTTCAGAAGTTTATTTTATATACAATAAACATGAAAATTCATTACCAAAGAAAGTGCTCGAGATGGCCTTCCTTTGGTAGCGATACAGGCTTGAAGTCTCTTTTCAACTGACATCACCGTGGGCCGCAAGTAGCTGACGTCGGCGTGACGTGAGTAGATCTTCAGACCAGAAGTGGCGCACGATTTGCAAAACGACAGGCAGTTGTTGGATCTGGCTAGCAGACATTCTGCTCGACCTTGTGTACACACAAGGAACCGTTTTTCAAATTTGTCATGGTTTGGGCAGGAATTACTTCTGAAACCATGACACCGCTTGTCTTTGTGGATGAATACATCAAAGCCAGCGCCCAGATCTACCGGAAACAATTTTCACGTAATGCCCTTCTTTCCAAGGACTCTTTTGACCTTCAGCGAACGTCATTGCATTCTTCAGCAAGACAGGGCGCCTCCACATGCCGCAAAATCAATGTTGGAGAACTGTGACCGTCATTTTCCAAGTTACCGGGCACAAAATGTTTGGCCATCTAAGTCGCCCGATTTGAACCAATTGATTTGGCGGTGTGGGGCTTCTTGAAGCAGAAGATGCCTTCTGAGCAACGTCGAAGTTTGGACTCCCTGAAGGCTTCCTTGGAGGCGTGGAAGGAGCTTGACGTCAGCTACTTGCGGCCCACAGTGATGTCAGTTGAGAAGAGATTTGAAGCCTGTATCGCTGCCGAAGAAGGCCATTTCGAGCACTTTCTTTCAGCAATGTACTGCCATGTTATAAGGTATATAAAGATAAACCTCTGAAGATGTAAAAGCTTCTCGTTTTAAAAATATGGTCAACAATCCATGCGCCAATATTTAGTAGCCACCCTGTATATCCGTACACAAGAAAGGAGCTAT